AATCCGAGATTAGTGTTTGAAGACTGTTCGAAGGAACTTATTAGGTTCTCTCGCGTAAGATTATAACTCATTGAAAAGCCTATTAATAGTTATCCCGTGGATAATGGGTTTGTTCCGCGCAGGAAACGATTCTCGTCGCGGCGACGGGGAAAATCGCGGCCCGCCGCGAGAAACCACGCGTCTCGCGTAGTAACTTTCCTCGCCCGACCACCCTGTCGGCCGGTGATTCTTTTTTAGCGGCGCTATTTGCGGGCCACAGGCGGAAATAGCCCGATGCGCTCTCACGGAAGACTTCTTTTCCGGCGACTGAAATAATTGGAACGGGGACTAGAATCAAAATAAACCTCGAGTGCGACGCGGAATGTAAAAGGTATATTTAAACGGATTCTCCTTCGTTAGCGGCTCGGTTATTCAATGAATGAATGCTCGCGGCAGAAGCAGCCGCTACCCTGGTCCGGCAGCCAGTTCCAAGAAAGATCTAATTCCCTTATGTCCCATGCTTTCTCCTTCCTGTGTCCCACGGTGGACCGTCGAGGAACGATCCGACGAATGTTCTAAGTTCCATGGTCCTCCGCGCACCTCTTTTGTCCCGATTCAATGCTGTCCCCGGTTTCGCGGCTGCCCGGGCTCATTAGGCGAAGATCGTTTCTTCATCAAGCGGTATCGTCTTACTTAGACGACGCAAGTCCAGACTCAAGTTCACAGAGTATGCCAACGGTATAGGATGTTCATAGGCGGACACTGTTAACATGCGAGCCTCGCTGGCAACTGATTGCAGGTTACAAAGGTGATTCCCATTGTGGAATGTTATATCGAGCAACGGCGATCGCCGTCCGAAAACTTGTTGCTCGAAATCTCCGCATTATAATCCGTCGATCACGACGAGAACGAGTGGAAGATAGCGATACGCGATTAAAACGAATCCAACGTGAAGACGCTGGAAACGGCGTTCGAGCATCGATCGAGCGTCCGGACGCGCGCGTATCGCGGCGAATATTGTCGGCTCTGTTGACAGTGTCAGCACGTTAATCCGACAGCGTCACCGTGTACATCGACAGCCCGATATACCGGCGTTCACCTGTTAATCGGATTTACCTCGGAGTCGTACGCGCGGCTCGCGAAAAACCGACCGGTATCGGCGGCGTTTCGCGTCGCCCGGGATCGGTGTTATCGTTCTACGGCGGCCGGCCGGCCGGCACAGAAAAAAAGACCGGCCGCGACAACGATGGACGACGGTCGTCGTCGAAACTGGAAAAATTAATTCCACCGTTCATCTCGCCCCGTCGTCCCGGGACCAGTCGTTCCGTAAACGAATGCGATCGCTCGTATTGTCCGGCTAAAATACCGACGGCGGTCCCGACCTGCATCGCTTTAATTCGTTTTCAGCGACCCCGCTGCCGGCTATTCCTCTTTCGCGCACGGCGAACGGAAATCGACCGAATTTTCGCGGCTTCCTACTTTCGACTCCGCCGAGAACCTTTCCATGTTCTGTCTCCTGGATAATAGGGGATGTAGCGTGCTTTACGATCGTAATTAACATCTTAACGCATTGCGTACCGGCTGATTTTCGGAAAACTGAATCGTGCGGGTGGCAATTTTTACTGAGGTCGACTTATATCGCTGTACATAGAAAAACTCAGATATACTGTTATGTAATGTATTTTAAATGGATAATCAATTCGAATGAAATTTTATATTTTCTTCAATGCTGTGGTAATTAGCGAAGTTGCATGGTGTCTTTATATAAACAATTCGACTTATACTCGCCTTCATTTTTAAATCGAGTTTGGTTGACCTTTTCTAATATATTCTTGGATTGTTCTGTTAGAGTTTATGTTTATAATAGCCGATCGTTTTATTTTAATTACTCTGAGTTTGTAATGTTTAGATATAATGTGTCAGGAGTGCTTTTTTTATAGAAAATATACCGTTGATTCTCGTTGCTCGTTAATGGTGAAGTAGTTGAGTGGGACATCTAAAGTTCAACACTCTCGACTAGATTCGACGGAGGAGGTAGATCGATTTTGCCGTGATATTTTTACGTCTCGGTCAAAGGTCTCCCAGCGACGCCTGTTTCTACGGTTTTAGCCGCGAGCGGCAGTCTGGCCTCCAACTTCCGTCTAATTAGGACACTGTTGATACTTCGGAACCGGTCGCGAGTTTCTAGTTCTTTCCGTCGACGCGGCGTGAAAAATTTACTTTACGACTTCCTGTCATGTAACGCTCGCCTCGTTGTCGTCGCTGGGCAAATGCATTGTCTCGTTGACACTCCGACGCATTCCCTCGCGCCGTTCGTTCCGGTAACGATCCCGACAGTCGCAACGTTCAACCGCTTCTTTGAAACCCCACCGGGAACTCTATTATTCGTATTTTAATTAAATAACGTTCACAGCGTACAAAGAAGCACGTTAAAACGAAACTAGTACGAACCGCATTCAAGGAACGATTCCGGAATAACTCGGTGCCAGTTAGCCGGGGATTAAACAACAACTCCCATAAAATAACTTCAACATTGTAAGCTGTAATTTCCACCTTTTACAACCGCGATACCCAGTTGGGAACGTCTCCGGGATAATTGCCGATCCACGGCTCGCAGCTGAAGCGCTTAATACGCTTCGCGGCAGTCCGTTTACACGGCACTCGGTGTCGAAACGCACGACGGCCACCGAGCTCGGGGAACGTTGAGCAAGGTAGTCTCGGGCAAGAAGGCTGGTTCAAGGTTAGCGTACGCCGGCGACGAAACGCGAGTGTTCCGCGGCGCCAGCCAGACGCTTTCGCGAGGAACGCGCGCGCATGTTTCGCACGAAAATTGCACCGGAGTTGCGAGCGCGCGGTCGTTTGCACGGTTTCTTATTACGCCGGGTTTTCGAATCGGCACTACCGCTTTCTTGGCTCGTTTCCTCTCGAACGGGCCGGGCGGAATCCGCGCGACGGGTATTTAGCGCGGCCGTTACCAGGCCTAAAAGTCGAATCGCGCCGGGAAACCCGACGCAGTTTGTTGTAATAACTACGCCTATATTCCCCGGCGGTTTTACGCGAGCCGAGCGGCGCTCGGAGGAGGGAGAGAACGCTTCGCGATAATTAGCCGGTTTATCTTGAACGGTTTTTCCGCGAGCGGGGCCCCCGAGCACCGCCGTTACCGGCGCCCATTCTTCGAGTCGAGCTAAACGAACGAACGCCCCAGCTAGTTAGCTGAACACCTGTTAGAGAAACGAGACCGGAGACTGGAATCGCTTCTGGTTAAGCTGGAATAATTGATTATCCGATTAGTCCGGGCCGGATGGGATTAAAATACACTCGTTTCGTATTATTTGTCGGGCTCGTTCGATCACGCACAGAATTACCGGCGAATGATTCATTTCTGAGAGGGAAGATATATTCAGGTGCGCTCGGGATTAGCTTAATTGTAGGACGATGAACCCCGGGGTTGTGTTCGTTTGATAACCCGATGGAGTAACGCTATTATCGGGCGAATAATTGTAACTACATCTCGAGGGCGATTCACTTTTTGACGGACCCGGTTGAACAGCCGGGGGAGTTAAGTGGCGCGGGACACGCGAGTCTACTTCGACTGTTTGGATTCGAAGCGGAGCCCCGGCCGATCGATGCTCCGATAACACCGGTGCGCTCCGTAGTCGCGGAACAGATCGATGCGCGGCCGGATCGACGCGGACGATCGGGGAAACCCGGCTGATGAGAGCTCCAGTTTCGAGTGCAGCGAGTACCGATCGAGGGGCTTCGCTCGCAGCCGCTCGAAGATAGGCAAAATCGTGGCGCCCGTTATCGGATCCAATGTTTCGTACTGTTATCAGACTCCGCCACTGAAACTGTCACGCTCGAAATGATCGCTGGTCCTGTCGGATCCACTGTAAACCAAGCCAACACCTGCACGAACGCTCCCGTAATGGCGTTACCCTCCCCGGGTCCGTCGGCTTGAAATTTAGATCCGGTAGGTGTGTATGATCGATCGAATACTCGACACGCGAAAACTTCTGGATTAAATCTTCTTAGCCCCTCGCTGATGACTCTATGGGATTTCCCTTGTGTAGACGATCCGTCGATTAGATACGCTGCTACTACTGTTTACTCTGTTTTCACGATCAACTTTCGATAATCCCTACTTTCTATAGAGCAGCACTTTGGGTTATGCTTCCTGCTACTTAGCCTGCTCTGTTTTCTAATTCTAGACCTCCTCCTTTTGGTTCTCGTTATAAGACAGGTATACGCGTAAATATCGATCTTTACGAGCTAATATGAAATGTGTTTGGAAAGGAAGTATAAGAACGAAGGCTAGTTCAGGATTTTGTGAACGGGCAAGTCTAAAATATCCCGATCACCGGACCCCGTGAAGATCAATCACGATTTAATCCCGTGTATCGCCTCCACGGTAGATTCACTTTTCACCGAGTTCGGCGGAAGCCTCTGTCACTCGAAATTGCGACGTTATTTTCCGCGTGTTTAACAATTTTCGTTCGCGGTACGTATCCGATTGTTATCAATTACCGTCCAATATTGAATTTGTAAATTTCACCGTTTGCCAGCTGCGGGGGCAGAATTATGGCGTGTCGAAATCCGCGCGGCGCGTATCGATCGAGGCCCCGGTTCCAATACGCCCGAGACACCGAGGACCGTCGAACACGATCAGACTCAGACTTTCGGGTCCCGATTAGAATATGTATATTTAAAGCGATCCGAAACGGCGATGAACCCGTCGCGGCATCAGCTTCCGTTCCATAACGCGATCCTATCGAGTCAACGTTGTGTACGCGGCAGCCCGATAGAGGACCCCGTACACTCTGCCCCCGCCATCGGGCTTTCCTTAACCTCTTCGAGTAAGTCGTCCGCTCGTCACGCTCGATCGAGCGGAAGCCAGTGGCTGTCGTCAAGGATAACTCGGATTTAACAGCCACTTCATCCAGCTTTTCCAAATCGATCCCACCCGCAGCGACCGGGAAAAGCCAGCAGACTCTAACGTTCCTCCCCGTTCTGTTTTCAGCCGGCCGTGCTCCGAGAGGAATAGAAAGGGCGGACAGGAAGAGGCCGGGTCCCCTCGCTCCGCCGGGGAAACGACGGATTTTTCTCGCAAAAACCACTGACGATGAGCTAGCGACACGATGCGGAGGATGAAGCAGCGCGTGCTGCTCGCCTGGCCATGGTTGTGGCTGTGGCTGTTCGCGGCCACAGCGGGTTCCCCGTCTTCCGACACGTTCGTATCGACCACGTTCTCCTCTTCGGCCGGCGTCAGCATCAGCGGCGGTGGCAGCAGCGGCGGCTCGGTGACCAAGCCGTTCAGCCCGGCCGTTCCGACGTCGACCTCCTCTTCGATCACCGAAGACCCATCGTTCCCGCCGAGCCGAGACTTCCGTTTCACCCAGCCGCTGTACAATGTCTCCATCCCCGAGAACTCGATCGGGAAGACGTACGTGGTCCCCGAGGAGAGGATGGGCATCAAGCTCGCGTCGCCGGACGCCAACCTCGACGTGAGGTTCCGCATAATGACCGGCGACAGGGACAAGTTCTTCAAAGCGGAGGAGCGCACCGTCGGTGATTTCTGTTTCCTCTTGATTCGGACTCGAACCGGGAACGTGGACGTGTTGAACCGCGAGAGGAAGGATCGTTACGTGCTCGAAGTGCGCGCGACCGCGACCAAGGGGGACGGCAGGAGCAGGGCGAGCGTCCTCGAGGCGGACACGACCGTCGTCGTGACCGTCCTGGACACGAACGATCTGAACCCCCTGTTCTATCCCACCGAGTACGAGGCGACCATAACCGAGGACACGCCCCTGCACCGCACCATACTCAGGGTAATAGCCGAGGACGCAGATCTCGGGAGGAACGGCGAGATTTATTACAGCTTCGCCGAGGAGACCGATCAGTTCGCCGTTCACCCGGTCAGTGGGGTAATCACGCTCACCAGGCCGCTCAGGTAGGTCCACGTAATAGAATTCTCCTGTTTCGCTTGATGATCCGCGCGGATCGTATCCACTCGACTCGTCTGCTCTCTTGGCTCTGATGAATATTGGCTGGGAGTTACGAAGGTCCGGCTGGCAGGATCTCTGATCGATTTAAGGAGAGGGCTCTGTTCTGTTTTCGGGGTTTTATTTCGATGAATGCGGAGATGCGAAACGGTTATTAACGCTTCGATAGCTAATTTTACGGTCCTACTCGTTTTTTCGTTCTTTCGGGTGACGCGTAGCTATTTCTCGATTAGGATCGCGTTGAATTTTTTTCGTGGAATTATATTCTTTTGTGGATTGTCTGGTTCGAGGGCGAGTTTAACTTCGCTGCGATCGTTTGGAATTAGATAATAGATATTTCTCGAATCGGTCATTTCTTTGGGAACGTTACGGCACCGTATACTCGAGTCTTTATTGTTCTTACGATGCTTAACGATAGTTTCAAAAGAAACGCAGGTCCGCGAAACGTTTTAATGTTACAGCGGACATTTGTCTTGTCGAATGGTCAGTTGCAAATGAATTTCTTGCACAAGAAACGTCTACGGTTCAGAAATTCTCCGAATGTTTCGGATTCTTTCGTGTAAACGGCCGTTCATTCGGCACGCCCTCGCAGAGCAGTCGCTTGTTTGAATTTATTGTTGAGGAGTAAATTGTCCGTGAACGAGAATGCAGTACACGGGTACCGTGAACGGGCGATTGTAATATAGTAAACACAACGAAGAAAATATTTGAAACACAAGTTGCTTCGAAAGGGAATGCTCGTAGTTCAAACGATTATTCAATGAAACGCGATCGCGAATATAAAACATATCTACAGTTTTCACCGGGCGAATACTTATGGGATACGGGCACGCACGTTTATACATTATTCTTGCATGCTTCACATTCAACAAAGATACCAAGAAAATTTCCATTCCGAACAGGGCTGACTAAAATCTAAAGAAAAATTGCTCCGAGCTCCGTACAGTCAGTTAGGTAATAATCAAGCAAAGAAATATATTTTCGGAATGCGGGCATGAACGTTTATAAACCTTCTAAGAATGTTCCAATGCAATTTCACTTTCAACAAAGATACTAGAAAAATTCCAACTTCGAACGCGTGCGAAGCTGACTAAACGTAGAAGAAAATAACTCTATACGTTGAGCAATCGTCCAGATAATACATAACCGAAAAGAAACGAAAGAAAAGCACAATGTCTGTTCTCTCAGGTACTCCGAGAAAGCGATCCACGAGCTAGTGGTCCTAGCTAAGGACCGTGGAGCGCAGTTCCGCGGCGGAGGTAGCAGCAGGCCGAGCACAGCGAAAGTGACGATCAGAGTGCGTCAGGTGAACCTGCACACGCCCGAAATCTACGTGCACCATCTGCCGGACATCGTGGAACATTCGAACGCTGATATCTACGCGATCGTGCGAGTGGTAGACCAGGACGAAGGTGTTCACGGTAAGATCGCCAGCTTGGACATCGTGGGCGGTGACCCGGCCGGTCACTTCAGAGTGCGACCGGCCGGCAGACAGCACTCGGGCGAGTATAACATCGAAGTGTTGCACCTCCTGGACCGAGAAACCGCGGTGCAAGGGTACAACCTGACGCTGCGCGCGATGGACAGAGGCGTGCCGCAAAAGTTCAGCTACAAGTTCGTGCCGGTGCACCTGGCGGACTTGAACGACAACGCGCCGGTGTTCAGCCGGGAGATCTACGAGGTGAAGGTTCCAGAGACGGCTCCCGTGAACACGCCGGTGATGAGGCTGAAGGTGACCGACGCGGACGAGGGCAGGAACGCTCTGGTATTCCTCGAGATCGTGGGCGGCAACGAGGGCGGCGAGTTCTACGTGAACGCGGAGACAGGGATGCTGTACACCGCGGTAGCCCTGGACGCCGAGAAGAAGGCGTTCTACACGCTGACGGTGTCCGCGGTGGACCAGGGGAACGCCGGGACGAGGAAGCAGTCGTCGGCCAAGGTGAAGATCAACGTGGTCGACACGAACGACAACGACCCGACGTTCGAGCAGTCCGAGATGGAGGTTTGGATCGACGAGAACGAGCCGGCCGGCACCTCGGTGGTCAAGATCACCGCGAAGGATCGTGACTCCGGCGAGAACGCTTACATCTCGTACAGCATCGACAATATTCAGAAGGTGCCGTTCGAGATCGACCATTTCTCCGGCGTCGTGAGGACCAAACAGGTGCTCGACTACGAGACCATGAAGAGGGAGTACCTGCTGCACGTGCGGGTCAGCGACTGGGGGCTGCCCTACCGGCGACAGGCCGAGATGCAGCTTCACGTGAAAGTGCGGGACGTGAACGACAACCGGCCGCAGTTCGAGAGAATCGATTGCACCGGCCACGTGCCGCGGTACGTGGCCATCGGCTCGGAAGTGATCACCGTGTCGGCGATCGACTTCGACGTGGGCAACATCATCAGCTACCGCATCGTCTCCGGTAACGAGGACGGCTGCTTCGCCCTGGACTCGGCGAGCGGCATCTTATCCGTCGCCTGCGATCTCTCCGACGTGAAGTCCGCGGAGAGGACGGTGAACGTCACCGCCACCGACGGCACACACTTCGCCGACGTGAACCCCGTGCACATGCACCTGGTGAACGCGAAGAGGAACCTCGGCTCGCAGGGGAGGATCCTGTCGGACCAGGGCGGCGCGTTCGAGTGCCGCGACACGGGGGTCGCCAGGAGGTTAACCGAGGCGATCGCCGCCGCGGAGAGGAACAATATGCCCTCCAAAGACGACGAGTACACCTTGACGCCCAGCAGATACGGCGAGAACATGCACACGCCGGAGTTCATCGACTTCCCCAGCGAAATTAAGGCGAACGAGTCCGTGAAGGTCGGCACCACGCTGGTCAGAATACGTGCGAGGGACAGGGATCTGGACTACAACGGGAAGCTGGTGTTTTGTATATCCAGCGGCGACCGGGACTCCGTGTTCGGCGTTGATCCCGACACCGGCGATCTGAACGTGATGGGCTACCTGGACAGGGAACGCGAGAGCGAGTATTTCCTGAACATCAGCGTCTACGACCTGGGCAAGCCGCAGAAGTCCAGCTCCAGGATGCTACCGGTGACGATCTTAGATGTGAACGATAACGCGCCGAAGTTCGAGAAGTCTCTAGCCAGCTTCAGGATCTCGGAGACCGCGCTGAACGGGACCAACGTCTGGCGCGCGAACGCCACCGACGCGGATCTCGGCGAGAACGCGCGTGTCACTTACTCTTTAGTGACCGAGACCAACGACTTCCGAGTGGACCCCGTGACCGGCGTGCTCAGCGTATTCGGCAGGCTGGACAGGGAGCGGCAGGAGCTGTACGAGCTGAGGATACGGGCGCAAGATAACGGCGGCAAGGGCACCGACATGCCGCCATTGTACTCGGACGCTTTGGTCAGGGTGACGGTGGACGATGTCAACGACAACGCGCCCACGTTCGCGTTGTCCAGCTACACGGTGAAGATCCGCGAGGACGTGCCGATCTGGACGGTCGTGGCGGTCGTGGACGCGACCGACCCCGACGAAGCCGCCGGAGGGGACATCGAGTACTTCCTGTCCGACGCCATGGAGAGCGAGGGATATTTCAAAGTCGATAAAGTGTCCGGCACGATCAGGACCACCCAGAGTTTGGACTTCGAGGAGCGCCAGGTGCACACTCTGACGATAGTGGCGAAGGACCGCGGCGAGCCGTCCCTGTCCACCGAAACTATGGTCATTATCGAGATCGTGGACGTGAACGAGAACATGCATCCCCCAGTTTTCGATGATTTCGTCGTCTCCGCGAGTGTGTTCGAGAACCAACCCGTCGGCACGCTGGTGACGACCGTTCGTGCGAAGGACGCGGACCCTCTGGGCGGAGACTCCAGGATTGGATACACCATCAGGAGCGGCGACGGGATCGGGATCTTCAACATCGATAACGAAGGTGAGTCCTGTTTGTTATCTTATGGTTTTCAGATAATTGTCATTCTTTCCGTTTTTTGATCTTTAACTACCGAGCAGATTGACTTTAAGTTCCTCGTAGAAAGTTCACGGGTGCGTCTATTGAGATTTCAATCGAGCAATTCGGTTTGCGTATTACTGAGTCGGTTTGTTTAATGATTTTTTAGAGAAGCATTTGTTAGCTTTTCAGTAAGTGTGAAAAGAAATTAGGAACGAGTCATTTTGTCTGGTAGTTTTAGTGTTAACGACTCAGCATGTAGTTGCATCGTGGCTAACTCGTGGAAAATCGTTGAAGCGGAACGAAAGAATTTTGTTGTAGAAAACTTTGATAATTTATGTTTCTGATATTTCTTTGATATTTTTATCTCCGTACGAGAAGCAATTCATAATGTGCCCATCAGACGCTACCGGGTTGTTCAGAGTAAATCGATGAGCGTATTATCTTCATTGCTTTAACTTGATTTACTGCGTATCAGCGAGGTTCGAATTCATTTATATTTACCCGTCGCCGATGATAGAATATTATCGACCTTGCGAAAATCCTGTCAGATCTCCAAACAAGCCGTGGATTATATTTCGCGATAAAAAGGAGTAGGTGAACGCCGACAACCGGTGTACGATACGTCAATATTTAATTTCCCGCGAGATCTCGATTAAACCGATGCAAAAACCCAGATGCATCTGCGCAATGATGCGAGGCGGAACAAGATCGAACAGCATTCGACGGCAGCCACTTTGCGGGATTATAAATCGGCTGTAGCAGATTGAATGCGGTATTCGTAACTGTTTGACCGTGAAATAGAAAGAACGTCGATGAAAACTCTCGGTTATCGTGCCGCGGATCGAATCGATGCGTTCTCTTTACGTTGATCCGGCGCGAGTCGTGCCCGCCGCCATCGATGTCTCCTCGCAACGGCGTATCGCCTCGTCAACGTCAATCCTTTCGCCGAAAAGCATCGAATCTCGGCTCGCCGAGCGCATCGTCTCGCGCGTTTCTTGTTCGTTAACGAGGGATTTGAATTTTAAACCCGAGGAGAATCAATCGACGCGCCGATGTGAATGTTTATTTAAATCTCGGCCGTCTTTTGACGAGCATCGACCGCATTAAACATCCGGCTGCTGAACCCGCAATTTGCATGCTAACCTTTTTACCGGCAAGTTTTTGCGCGGACCGTGCTGCTGCGGCTCGCAATTTAAATTCATCTCGACCCGACTTCAACATTTCTCGCGCGAGCAGTGTCCATCGCGAATATTCCGCGGAATAGGAGCGTTAGAAACACACTGTTCTGAAATTCTAGATATTTCACGTGTCTCTGCATCTTTATATCCGGGCTAGAAATACCCGGAGAATCTACCGATACTCATCGAACCGAAAACTTCTTCATCCATGAGTCACGCTTTAATTACTTTATCCATACGTTATCAACGTTTAATAAACAAGCCGCGTTTCAACCCTTGTCCAGCTGATTCCCAGTGATTCTCGACTCGCGATTCGAACATGATAAAGGATTGATTCGCCCCGAGTCACGGGCACGTCGACAAGAAGTAATTTCAAGCCAATTGCATTTCCCTTGCGAGGGAAAACAGGCCGGGCAAAGTAGAACAAGCGTGATTCCAGTGAACCGTCCCTTTCGATCTCCACCGGAAGGAGAATCGAGCGTAACAATACTCTGAAATCGTTCGGGTCCGTGATCCCGGCTTCGATTCATTCTTCCCCGACTGCGGCCGGCTGAAAGAGAGGGAAAATAGAGGAAGAGAACCGACCGTGGGTCCGCGAGACGCGTCCTTTTTCCGCTTTGGTGGCTGCACTGTTCCGCTTCTTTCCGGTCGCCGGCGATGATCGATCGAAGGGAGCGGGGGGGAAAAAATACACGAGACCGATTCACCCTTTACATCCGACTGGCGGACCGATGCTCCGTGGCACCGGTCCAAAACGAAGTTACAGCGTCGCGGCCCATTAAATACCGACGCGGCGGGTTTAATTGAATTATGGGACTCCCGAGGATTCTCCTCTTTTTTCCCGGAGCTCGCGGCCGCGGATTAAATTCCGCCCGCAAGTATCCTTTCGCGGCGAGAACCGCACGAGAAATCGCGCGTCACCCCGTTTAATGATCGCCCCGTTCGTCCGGGAGGATCCGAATCGATTAACTTGCTAATCGGGAAGACCGGTTGGCTTGTCGCTGCTATTCGACGCTGCGTTTCCCGTCATTGCATTTATATTTGGAAAGTTGGAGTGAAAATTACGAAGTTTCGCTATGAAAGGGAATCAGTTTTAATGAAGCGTGTAGCCAGCTTCATCGCCGGACGAATGAAAGAGTTTAATCATTCTGATTCTCGGCAGACGCGAAATAATGACGAGTGAAAATATAGAGGTAACAATGTCTCGTTAATAATCGCGTTAAAGCAGGAATCCAACCCGAATTCCCTTCGTATTGTTTCTACCCGGCGAGCACGATCTCGTTAATTCTCAGATTCCTCGGGGAAGATTCTTTCCTCGAATTCGTTTCTTCGAGGCACTGCAACTAAAGATTCCTCGTGGAGATTCGTAGTTACATAAGTCTATGTGTAACACGCACCGTTCGTGCGGAGCGTAATACGTGCCAGGCACGGTCGCTATATCGATCTACCGCGAAGTAAAAATAATACATTGTCAGTGGTATGCATATTCAGCCGGCGTAAATATTCATAAGTCGCCGGTGTATTGCCTTGGTGTTTGAGGCACGACCGCCGGTTATCGTCGTTTGCGATTCTACGACGCGACGGATCCACGGTTACGTGTAGCCGGTGTTCGCCGTCCTGTAGCCGGAATCGCTCGCTCGCAATTTCAGCAACTGCTCGAACCGAGCATTATTTAACGTACAATCTGGTGGTCGTGTTACGTCGTTCCTTTTTCAAAAATACAAACACCGCGACTAGGGGGATACGCGTAAAGGAGGAGCGCTCTGTTTGCCGGCCGGTGTAACGATGAACAGTTAACCGTTTTAATCGACGAAATTTATACCCAAATAAAATCTGCCATCGGACGGGCACGGTCCGTCGACGAAATCAATTTCGTTCAATCCAAACTCGT